GGGGCGCCGGGCACTGACACTCGGGCGCGGGTTTTCGAGGCCTCCGAGGCGGGCGGAGGTTTGGTCTCGTTTCTGGAGCCCTACAAAGTAACCGGGACTTTTGCCAAATGGCTGTGGCTCAAAGATCCGGTACCAAATGGAATCCTGGTAAGTGGAAACATGGACCAAACCTGCGTAACCCCCCCTGTTTAATTTTGAGCCACAGCCAAATACCTTTTTGTTTGATGGCCGCACTTGACGTGGTCCCAGAACCCCAGAAAGGGCCAACCTGTTTTTTTTTTTCCCCAGGTCACTGAAGAACTGGGAATGGTCCAAGGGAGTCGCCCAACTGAGCAAGATGCCCACTGGGCTTCTCAAGAAGCTGAAAGCGGGCTGAAGCATCTGCTGAAGCTGAAGTGCATTGGGGGGGAGTCGTGTGATTTTCCTGAGGGAAATGCGCATCAAGCCAGCATGTAGATCCGTGTCAGGCTGGTTTGATGGTGAAGCACCAAACTCTGAAGATCCTTTTAACTGGTTTTTCGCCGGAGGGGCCCTTGAGTGCCGTCATGCGTTCGAACGTCACCAGGTGGTTCCTGAGTTCAGTTCTCCAGGTGGAGTGATCTTGAAGGAGACAAGTAGTGCAGGGTGTCAAAAACTTGAGTTTGTGTTCAATGTTTTTGTAGACGCTAAACCGGACACCACCCCTCACTTCCAAACCGATCCAAGCCACGACTCGTGGGAAGCCGACTCAGAAAAGTCAGCTGGTGGCATCCGTTTTCCGCAGGCCGTCCTGGCACTGCAGGAGCCGGAGGGGCCGATGGTTTCCATCCCTCCCCACAATGGAAGATGACATGGTGTGGGATGACTTTCCTTTGGGAGATCAGTTTTCCCCAACGTTGGGGATGTAAACCAAGCAGCTCGAAAAGCACGTGTACTTGTACCATGTATCAACACCCGGACCAGAGGTCCACAAGCGGGGCGCCTCCCACCATGTTGCCATGGGCCGGCCCTTGCGCACGGATTTGCAGCTTGAGGCTACTTGTTAGCAACCTGTCCATTGCTTGGTGCCATTTTGGAAAGGATGGTTTCAACATTGGCAACTCCCTTTGGGTTAAGAGAAACCGTACCAAGGCAAAGCTACAAAAGAGATGTAGATCTACATGTTGTTTGTTTTCTTCGGCGGTTTTACATGTTTGATTGCTCTCAAAGAACTGCACCATCAGAACATGCAGATAAAGAGCGTATCATGTAGGAAGTAGGTCCTACTCGCACAAAGCCGCATGAAGACATTGCTTGCACTTGAAAACGCGCGCGCGAGTGTGTGATGTGCGTGTGTGCGCGTTCGTGCGTTTGTGCGTTTGTGCGTCTGTCCGTCTGTACTTTTGTGCGTCTGTGCGTCTGTGCGGTTGTGTGTCTGTGCGTCTGTGCGTGCCTGTGTGTGTGTGTGTGCGTGTGTGCGTGTGTGCGTGTGTGCGTGTGTCCGTGTGTCCGTGTGTCCGTGTGTCCGTGTGTGCGTGTGTGCGTGTGCGTGCGTGCGTGCGTGCGTGCGCGCGCGCGTGCGTGCGTGCGTGCGTGCGTGCGTGCGTGCGTGCGTGAGTGAGTGCGTGCGTGCGTGCGTGCGTGCGTGCGTGCGCGCGTGCGTGTGTGTGTGTGTGTGTGTGTGTGTGTGTATGTGTGTGTGTGTCTGTGTGTGTGTGTTTGTGTGTGTGTGTTTGTGTGTTTGTGTGTGTGTGTGTGTTTGTGTGTGTGTGTGTGTGTTTGTGTGTTTGTGTGTGTGTGTGTGTTTGTGTGTGTGTGTGTCTGTGTGTGTGTGTGTTTGTGTGTGTGTGTGTTTGTGTTTGTGTGTGCCTGTGTTTGCGTGTTTGCGTGTTTGTGTGTTTGTGTGTTTGTGTGTTTGGGTGTTTGGGTGTTTGTGTGTTTGTGTGTTTGTGTGTTTGTGTGTTTGTGTGTTTGTGTGTTTGTGCGTTTGTGCGTTTGTGTGTTTGTGTGCGTGTGCAGGTGTGTGCGTGTGTGTGCGTGTGTGTGTGTGTGCGCGTGTGTGCAGGTGTGTTCAGGTGTTTGCGTGTGTGTGCGCGTGTGTGTGCGTGTGTGGGTGTGAGTGTGTGTGTGTGTGTGCGTGTGTGCGTGTGTGTGCGTCTTTGTGTGTGTGTGTGGGTGTGGTGGTGTGTGGGTGTGGGTGTGTGGGTGAGTTTGTGTGTTTTTATGTGTTGATGTGTTTGTGTTTGTGTGTGTTTGTGTGTGTGTTTGTGTTTGTGTTTGCGTGTGTTTGTGTTTGTGTGTGTGTGCTTGTGTTTGTGTGTGTGTGTTTGCGTGTTTGTGTTTTTTTTGGGTTGTTGTTTTTTGTGCGTGTGGTTGTTTGCGTGTGTGTGTGTGTGTGTGTGTCTGCGGATGTATAGTATGTATGTCTAACAATAGGTTCACATACAATCATGTATACACTTTGGTAGATACGGTTAGCACATGGCTAGATTCGTATATGCCAGCTGGCATGGATGAGAAGTCATGTAGGTGCAACAAGGCGCAACCGGCTGGCTGGCTGCTCGTGCACTCGTCGCCATTCTGCCACGGGTGCCAGGCTTGGTGAAGTCACTGGATTGGCCCCATTGCATGTACTCAACCGAAAGATGAAGTGACCGGGGTTGTCCTTCCTATGTGCATGATTGGGGAAATGATGCGGTTGCTTGGCTTGGCCATTTGTCCATCAACTCGGATCCCGAAGATAATGTTAAGCTAGTTTGAAAAGGGCCTTTGAAGGTCCAACAGCAAAACAGGCGCTTGCCAAGCACGGCCATGCCTGTTGCAAGCCAAAAGTCTCGCAGCAGCTCGCACAAAAAGCGGATATATTATCTCCGTTGGCGGTTTCAATGGGGCATCAACGGGTCAAATTGAACCAGGGGACAGCAGGTTGTAGTCCTTTCCATATACTAGGGTTACATTCTGGGTACCTATTTGTTCGTTTGCCTTCAGGTGATGCGAAAAGCCCCTTATCAGGTCACCGTTTTGGGGCATTAGAAAGAGGTCACACAACCGGGGTGCCACTACCAATAAGCGATGAAAGCCCGAGTCCTTCGTAGGGACTTCCTTTTCGAGGATGTAGCGCCCAGATCCAATTCAGAGCTACAGCTGAGCCACGTGAAAGTTCATGGCCCTTGCTACGGCTGTATTACAGCAGGAGTTCCGAATCCACGCCACCAAATTAGAAGCCTTGGCCGTTGGCCTGATGCGTCCAGGAGACCCTTCACCAAAGATGTGAAGCCGGGGCCCTTAGTTTGCCGTCAATGAGAGTCCCACACACCCTGGATGTGCTTTGGTCAACACCCCTTGTTCTTGGGCTTGGAATAGTCATGGACCGCCGGAAAGCAGACAACCATGAAATGTTTTGTTGTTGAAGGAATCATGATCATGGTCATAATGTATGGAGATGACCACCGGAAGAAACGCACACACACACACACATACTACCACTAGGGAGAGTAGTCAACATGGATTCTCAACTTCCAGCCGGACAGGCATCCGCCGTTTGCGACAGAATGTCCCTTGCTCATTTGTGAGTTTACCACTCGGGCGATTCTTGCGGTGATGGAAGTCCAAGATACCTCGGACAAGATGTGTTTGCCTTGGTTGCCCGGCATGCCATAGGCTTGAAGGCAATGCCTTGTCCTTAGCATTGAGTGGAGAAGAACATGCACTTCACGCGTTCTTTTATTTCGGTATGGCCCTGAAGCTGAGCATCCTAGCTACCAGCAGACATGGGATTTTTTGATTTGGTGCCGTCTGCTTTCAGGGGAGTGCCCTAACCAAGTGAACCATACATCGGTGTTCCTTCGGGCTATTTGAGGCAAATGGCAAGACTTGCTTAGATCCATTTTTCGTTTATGAAGCTCCCGTTTAGTTCACGGAGCTCTACGTTGTGTCAGCGGCTGAACCGCAGCAGGCGGGATGTGCAGGAGTTTCGAGAGATGCTCAAGGAGCCGGGTGTTGATCGAAACCGTATTCGTTGGGCTTAGGGGGACCCCAGCTGGAATTTGGTTTCTCTTTTGGTTGGCCTTGAAGCTAGCCTCACAAACACACGCAAACCCACATCATGGTTGCCCTCTTGAACTGCCGTTGGAACTATACTAATTGCCTTGCACCCAAAGGTTGCCTGTGGAATGATTCCCCTCGCATCCACTTGAAACCTGGAACACAGCGGTTCCATGGCGACAGATCTGCCATGGAGTTCTCGAGCTTCAAACTCTAAGCACCAAGGTCAGCTTCAAACTCTCGAGTTTCTGGTTGTCTTGGGTCTTCTCTTCACGTTTCGTAGGGGCAGCTGCAAGACCTACCATTTCTTTTTCGCTACGCAAGGGTGCAGACCTCTGAGCTTCCCCAGACTTCTAAATCCCCTTTTCGGCTTTCCGCTTTTTCGGGGGGGTCGCCTTTGTTTTCCACTCCGCCGACAAAAAACAACGCCACGTCCTTTTGCTGGGGCCCCGATTCTTTTTCCGCGTGAGCTCGGCCTCGAGATCCCAGTCCAACGGGCCGCTTCAGGAGCCGGACGACATTTGGATCCGCAGCTCTGAGGCGGGACTCGGAGACTCGGCGAAGATCGAAACCGTCTCGGGTTCTTCAGGGCCCTTGGGTTGGCGTAGGGAAAAATCGGTTGGGAAAAATCTGTTGGTACATTCTTAGGGTTGTAGGGTTTGGCTTAGGGTACATTGGGGAACGTCCGGGTTGTCATTGTAAACGCTTGCTTCTTGTCAAGCCCAATTTGCAACGACGTGAGGAAAAATATCGGCCAGGGGAAACACCGACATCAGTACATGATGGAGCAGGCTCACAAACTACTGTCAACACGTCGGCCAAAAGAAGCAGCTGCCTCCCCATTTCCGCAAGCAGCCTATCCCCTCCCTTTTTGCTAGGGTTCGCGTTCTTCACTTGCGTTTCCTGACGTTCTGGTTATTGTCTTGCAGTCTGCAGGTTTTGGGCGGTTTCGCCACCTGTCTGTCCGGTCGACCGGCGCTGAAACCGCGCTCGGAGCCAGGCGCGAACGATGTTCAACCTCACCCGGGAGGACCTGCAAGAGCGCACCTGGCCGCGCTTGCACAGAATGTTGGGGTCTCGTCCAAGCACATTTCATGTTGGAAGAAGCAAAGTTTTGAAGCAACATCCGAACTAGTTTGTCCTTTGTGCCCCAGATGAGAGTCGACCGATGCGGACCCTGTGGTTGCAACCTCCAACATGTTTTTAGAAGCCAGAAACCGGAAGCTAATTTGGAGATCAAACAAGTCCGGTTGGGAGAATCAGAGTCCTTGCACTCCGGGTGGGTTTTTTGGTATGGGGTCCCAAACTCAGGAAGGACGCCCTCACTTGTAAGCCCATGTTTTCTCAGTCAACTTCGCATGCACGTTTCTGTGCAGCTGCTCAAACTGCAACCCTTCCATGATGGCGATTGCCAAGCTGGCGCTGGCCGCGCTGGTCTGCGCGGCCGAGCGCGATGATGACATGTCCATGCACCTGCTGCAGATGCAGATGAATGTCGCCAGGGGATCGGACACACAGTGCCTCCAGTTCATGCACATCCCCAAGACAGGTCAGGGTTCTGCGCAAAATATTTTCAAATCGTTTGGCAAATTGTTTTGGTTTCTCGGGACCAACTTGCTCCGGCCGAATGGGACAGGTGGTACCAGCATTGATGCTGCCAACATGAACCTGCCACACGGACACCGCGCCTTCGACTCCTTGATGCTGCGCACCTACCAGCGCATTGCCGCCAGCGCAAAATGGCCCGAGGAGGTGAATTTGGGCAAGGTGCATCTCGTTTTAAGAGTTTTCCGCTCGACTTGTGTTTGACCTTTCGGTTTTCCCGGGCTTCATTCTTGGCCAAGGTTCCAAACGCTCAAGGGACTTTTTGGTTTCAACATGCGTTTGACAAAGGTACGCGAAGTCGCACAAGGACAAAGACGCCTACGGGAAGTTCCTTGCCCAACACGGGCTCTCGTACCACTGGTTGCCTGAGGATAGTATGCCCAAGTGCGAGGACCTGCACACGCCGCCGTCTGTGAGCGCGAAAATGCGGAGCTACTACGACAGCTGCACCACGTTCTGCGCCGTGAGGGAGCCCACGCAACGATTTTGGAGTGCATATCGCATGCTTATGGGCCCCGAAGCGTCGGCCTGTGACCCCAAGTTTATTGAGATGTGGACGCTCGATGCACTTGCAAGCACCGAACAACATACAACTTATCATGACTGTTTTTTCACTCCCCAGCTGGAGTTCGTGCACGGCACCCGGAACATCTCAGAAGCTTCGCACGCATACTGCAATCGCATCATCCACCAGGAAAATCTCACCGCAGAGTTCGGGGAGTTGATGGCGGAGTATGGCTTTCAGGTTCCACTGCCAGAGAAAGATCTGATGCAAGGCTGGAGCGACAACTGCATAAACATGAGCGTCAACGACCTCACCCCGACAACCCGGCAGGCACTCTATGAGTTTTACAAAGCGGACTACGAAGCCTTCGGCTATCCAAAGCCGAATTTGTCGTGAGCTTAATGTCGCGTTGCCTTTTGGCAGCCTGCGTTGACCGCAGGGCAATGATTCACGTGCAGAAAGGCGGCAAAGCGCGAGTCCTCGTAATGCAAGATGTGACCAGGGTACGTTAGCATATATACTTAAGACCGATGACTTGGCTAGTTTGAACCGCATGTTCTGCCTTTTTTGCTGATGGCGTGCTGTATAGGTAGGGGTAAGATGAGCAAAGAGGCCATGCTGAAGCTCCTTGTTTTGCAACGCCTAAGCTTGAGAAGTAGAGCAAAGCGAGCGGATAGGGAGTGTCCATCGAATCCTTCGGGTATTCGGCCAATGCGGCCAAGCGCCCATCGCCGCCGAGCGAGGGCTTCTTGACAGAAGCGGGTCCCAAAAGCCCAGGAAGTTTTATCACGAAAGCTAACTACAACCAAACATGGTATTCCAGCAGGCCTTCCCAAGGAAGTGTGCAAGTTTGAACCAAAGCAGCGCCCAAAACCCCCCGAAAATGGCATTCTTGTAGGTTCAAGGCCTTTAGTATCCTTTATAGCCATCTTAGAACCAAAAAGTCAACAGGTCTTGGTCGCTCAGTGCCCAACCCTGAGTTGACCTGAACTCTCTCGCTGCACGCAGGTCCTTTGGCAAGCATCCTTGTTAAGCGAAGCCCAGTGGTGCTGAACGGACACCGAGGCTCGATTTCTAGTTGTTTCTTCGGTGATGGGGTGATGGATAGTTTGCATCCACCTTGCCGGCATTCCCTTTGGCAAGGTGGTAAGGTGACATCTCAGGGGCACATACCCTATAAATTGAAGCGGTGAATACCGGAATACGCTCAAACTTGTTTGGTGGACACGACCACCGAAGGGCCTCTGATTACCACTCCAGCTGGCACCGTTGCCACGTGGACAAAGTCTCATTTGTACAGTTATGCTTGTAAAACCCTCGTAAAACAATTCTCCACTAGGTTGAACTTCAGTAAAACCCTTGGAATACACAACCGACTAGCTTGAAATTCAGTAAGTCCCCTACCTGATTGTTTATCACTTTTTCCCGGTGCGCGGGGTGATTTTTGTTTGTTGAGTCCGACTCGCCGCCCAAAGAGTCCGCCGCCAGGCTCGGCGAGTCGGCAGCTCATTTTTGCAGTGAGTCGGTGATGTAAATTCGGGCTGAGTCTAGCTGGTCATTATTTGAAACCCATTTCTGGGGTCAAAGGCGGAAACTTGGGTGATTTCCAACCAGAATCCTCCACTTGGGAGGGCCTTTGATACTGGTAGAATGGGGCCAGTGACTTCACGGACTTTCGTCATTTTGGGTTTGGAACATGTGAGTGTCAAAAATATGTTTGGACTTTGGCCAGTCCACGCCTTTGAGAAGTCGTCAAGTCTGGAAGGCGAGTGACCACAAGACGAATGCGAGAGAGCACCCGGCGGAAATTAGGAGCACGGGGCCCCGAGAATAGGTCCCTCGAACATGGGTGTCGGCTTCGCCAATGGGGCCTTCCTTTGTTTCCAGGGGGTCAACGCAGAACCGAGCCCGAGGAACTTCATGGTGAAGGCCAATCCCTTCGATTCGGAGCAGGCGCGGTTAGAGACGGGAGGTCGTCCCAACTTTCGCATGGAGTAAAGTTGCCTTGTTTGCAGGCGGTTCTGCTTCCTGGTTTCCCGGAGCGGGGGGGGGGGAGGGGGGGGAGGGGGATTCATTGATTAAGGGTTGCATGAAGCTTTACAACCATCAGGTTTTGCTAGAACCAACAGGCAAAGGGCGTTGACTGTGAAGGTATGAATTGCCTGTTGTCATTATGATGATGACCGCAATGTATGTGGTATTTGTTACACGTTTAACCCGTGTCCAACCGCACTTGTTGTTGATGTTCACTCCCTTGCCTGCGCACTCTTGTTATTTTTCCCCATTTGAATGGTACCCTTTCCAACAAATTATTCTTGGCTAGAGCAGCTTCAAGTTTAAAGCATGCGATGAAAGGTTCCGTCCAACGAGTGTCTTCAATACAGAGCCAGCACCCATCTACACCGCAGCTCATGGCTGTGAGGAGTATCAAACCTGCCACGGTGCCCAATCTGCATGTCATCGGACAAGGCTGCAACAGTCATGGGTGATTCCTCAAAAGGAGTGGGTGAGACTGATGTACACTTTCGCAGTTTAACATGGAATCCAAAAAAACTGTAGCGATGCAAGTCGTTCCGAGTTGCGCATTGTCGAGGCACCGTTCACGCAGTTCCCCTTGAAGGATGTCGTTGCGTTCTCGGCCCAGAAGTTGCTCGCAATTTCCACAGCATCTCCGAGAGGCACGAGTGAGATTCGTGGTATGTGTTCGGTTTGTGCTGTTGTTCGAGCAGAGGGATCTAAGGTTGGTTGTTCAAAAGCAATGCGTGCGACGTTCTTGATGGGGACGCTGGCAAACATGAATGACTCACGCGGCTTTGGGGAGCCCTTGCGGCTTGCGGCCACTCCGAAAATCTTCATGTCACCCTTCGGTGCGAATCACTCTGTTTATCCCATTGAGGCTTGCGCTCGCGAAGCACAGTGAGAGGGACTTGCTCGGCACCAAGCAGACTAACAGAGGGTGCTTGCAGCAGTTTGCGTGTGTCTGTGTGTGTGTGTGTGTGGTGCGTGTGGTCTGTGTGGGTCTGCCTGCAATTCTCCCACAGGTTTCCTTGGACTTCCCGAAACTCAACTCCAAACGGGGGACCTCCTTTCCAATAGCTGACGATCGGAGGGTTTTGGAAGACAGTCCTCAGGTGGCCTTGATCTGAATAGAAACTGCCAGCCAGACACCGATGGCAGACTGCCCAACCGGGATGAGGCTGGACCACTTTCAGCGCAAGTCGCCTCGCTGGCAGGCGAGTTGGGTGGGGCAAAAGGCACGTGTTGATATTGTCACTTTCTGGGAGTTTGTACTCTGACCTGGAGAGCCAGAGCTGAGTTCGTGCATATCTCGTTGCCGCAGCCTTCTGGTGTTCGACCGCAGTCAGACACGCGATATCACGCGATTCTCGCATCGATTTCCATCTCGACTTCCCATGGCAGATGCGATCCTCGGCAAGGCCACCCAGCTCATGGACACGGTGCTAAAGGAGGTCTTAGCTCACTACGCCTATGACGAAAGCAGGCTGGAAGAGTGGAAGGCGCAGATCTCCGAGAAAGTTGTGGCGGGCTTGGCCGACTCGGGCTTCTCGTGGACCGTGGAGACGACCTTGGTTCCAGGGTCCGAAGAGCTTCCAGCGCTCGATCTCGAGGCGCTCACCCCCGAAGGCTTCGACACGGAAAAGGATGCCGTGACCATCACGGAATACCCCACAGCGAGCATGAAGGCTCGAGTGGTGGCGACTGGGAAGGCCAAGTAAGGCGAGCTCGACGTGTTGATGTTGTTCGTGTCTCACAGACTCAGATGCAATCGCCTGAGCGTGTTTTTCAACCATTGGTTGACATCCAAGACTTGGATGGGATTCCTCCCAATGACCTCTGCCAAGTCGCCGTTGCTGATTGTGCAAGCGCAAAGACCTCAGAATGGCAGGTGCTGAGGTTTCAGAGTCTGTTCCTTTTTAGCCTACCCTAAACAAACATCGTTCTGGAGGAACCCCCCAGGACCGTTTGGGCACAAACCAATCATTGTAAACTGCTCACAGCGGCCAACAGCTTGGGCGAATTCGTTGGCGGTCCACAACCATTTGAAGCTGCTCGGGTACAAATACGGATACGTAACATCCGCTATTTGTCTCAAAAATACATTGTCATAAGTAGGTGCAAAGCATCCCTGGATGAAGCGAGCTACCCAACATCAATATGCAGGCAACCAAGTATATTATCATTTTTGTTCGGGGCTGCAAAGCAAACGTACATAGTAATGGAAAAAACAGCACTCTCCACCATATGTAGCAAAAGGATTGGAGCTCTTTTGGGATTCACACTTTTTTACTTCGCCCTTTTGGTCGACCTTGCGTTCCTAACCCGTTGGAGGCACGTTGGCCTTTTAAACCCCAACACCAGCTCCTGAGAGTCTGGCATCAAACGGTCACACCCTTGTTTCTTGCCGGTGAAGAGCATTTGCCCAGGCGGCTTTCATGCGCAAAGCCCCGTTGAACCGTTGAATGCATACTTTCCCTTTTGTACCAGAACCCCTTGATTGACGGGCTTCGGGACTTACAGAGATTCTTCGGTCCAAGGCCGATCAGGCCCTAACCGGAAAGGGATCTGTGCACTTCCATCTTTGCTGGAAGGGCTTCCCGGATTGCCAGGCGCAGCGGGGTGTGTCCCGCAAGCTGCCGGGGCAGCCCAGTTTTTCAGCTTGCCGACGGCGCAACGTTGCTTCAGTTGGATTGCTTGTGCGACCGACTATGAAATAGAATATGGCAAGACGACTATTTGTTTTTCTCCGGACAAGCACTTGATCGAATCACAGCCCTTGATCAACTTTTCACGCCACTTGCATACAGTGGTAGACCTCGAGTTGATCACACGCCACTTCTTGCTATACGCAATCTCTGTAAGCCGCACAAATTGCAAACCCGAGGGTATGTTGGTTGTCCTCGGATGCATTATAAAAACCATCCCAATCAAACAGTCCCCGCTTTGGAACGGACCTTTGCCCCACCAAAAGAGAGAAAGCAGCTGTGCAAGGGGTGATTATCTTTGCAGAATACGCAATTTCGTGATTATTCTGGGCCCATGGCGATTTGAATCGCCCAAACATGGGGGGGGGGGGGGGGTGGCAATGGACGAACTGGCCTGAAATGAGGTTCCCAAGCCAACTTCAGATAGCTTCGCCAGCTTTCGAGTTTAACCGAACAGGACCGATTTGTTTTCCCCGAAGCGAGGGCCAAACGCCATGGCGATGACCAGTTTTAAATTTCACATGCGTACCCTAACCCCAAAACGCCTGGGCATTGAAGAAGCCGTCCCGCGTACAGTTTTGGTTGGGACCCGTACACAATGAAGCTGTAAGAGAAGGGTTTTCTACGGACCTCAACTTGTTATGAACTCTAAGATGGTTTCCACTACCCCCAAACCACTACCCTCCAGAACAAAATAAGATATACAGCCACGGCATCGCCCCTACAAAGGGTATACACCCCGTTTGTCTCTCCCTTATATATATATATATACATATATAAAGTATATAACACGTATACATGGCATTCTACATGACGGCTGTGTGCGCCATGTCGATCCATGTTGGGTGGAGGCGGGCGAGTGGAAATCGCAGGTACGGCCTTGAGTCCGATGAAGAGCTGGGACCTCGGTTTGCCGTGAGCAGCAGAGTCGGACTGTGACGAAGGGAAACAACGATGAGTATCGCATAGAACCACAACATAGGATGTTGCCTGCGCGTTCTACGGACTACCAGTTCACTCACCCACTGTCAAATCAAACATTTGGGATGTTATGCGTTGGTTTGCTTCACAAAACCGGGGCCTAAGAGCACCCAAACCAGGCAGCGTGATGGTGTTTGTTTCCTTCAAAGGTGCAACAGTATCCCGATCGGAACTGAGGCTGGAAAGGTCCTGAACGCTAAAAGTGACACGGCATGGGATATCGTGACACTGCTATCACTGCTGGTCCTGTTTTTGCCAGCCGGCCAGCCACTGATAGCATTTGATAGCCATAGCAACGCGAAAGATCTAACACCGAGCTCGTGGTACACCCGAGTAGCCTGGTCTTTGGAGTTTGCTGGTATGCATCAGCAGTGGGTTGGTGCAACCCTGTGGGGGGAGATGTGTAGCAAGATCCCAGGTAGACACTAGAGGCGATACAAGCACAGCAAGCCATAGCCGCTCGACAACAGGATGTCACACAGTCAAGGTCCTACAAGAGGAAGTAGGCATTGCCGGCCCCTCGTGTACCACCCAAATCTGTTTGATGATGGTAAAACATCAGATGCTCTGAGAGCGCATTCGCAGGAAGGAGTCTGACTCTGTTTTCTGCAAGGCATGATGTGCAATATTCAAAGACATCCCCCACCCCCAAACCAAACCTCAAAGAAGACATAGGACAATCAAGCCTCTTGGGATGACTTTCCTCTTTTGCACTCCGGTGTTTTGCTGGGGGTGTGTAGGGCTTTTGGTCCAGGGCTTTGACCCATCGGCGCAACAAAAATCCGAGGTCGGGCCCATTTTTTCTCAGAATGGGAGGTCTCCTGAACCCGGCTCCTTGCAAGATTTTCGGATTTTTGCGGTTCCATTTGAAATGGTGTTGCGACCATTTTTGCGACCATTTTTGCGACCATTTGCGACCATTTTGGTGTTGCTTTTTCAACACCAAGATAAAGAAATGGACACCACCATTTACAAGTTGCAATGTTCGATCGGTGTATTCACTGTAAGAATCCCGGCTGAAGCCCTGGCAGGAGGGTTCCGTGTGAAGTTCAACGGCTCTCTATGTTTTCGAGCCCCCTGTGATTCTTCCGATCGCTGAAGCCAGCACAATCCCATGGAACAGTTGTCCACATCTACCCTCAAAATGGGTCAATGGCGAAGACTACATCACCTCTCCCGAGCGTGTGAAAAAGACGGCTTCTTGGTTCTGTTGTTTATTTCACGTTTGGTTACACATAACAACTCACTCCCTGAGTTCTTAAACTTGTTGGAAATACCATTCTGGCGGTAAATAAGTGTAGACTTTTGTTTGGCACATCCACTCAGGAAGTGAGACACAATTGTTTGCTGCTTTCAGGATTGGCAGATCCCAATTAACCATTGAGATTTTATCCCGGGTTGCATTCATGCCCTTCATTGATTTGCCGGGTGTGCAAAGCAATCACTAAAACCTCTTGATTGAGGGACTTTGAGGGGATTCTACTACTTGGTTGAGGGCAGATCGTGAGACAAATTAGTGTGTGTTTGCGTGGGTTGGAATTTGGGGAAATCAAGTGGAAACCTTTCCCAAAGTCAATGAGTACTTTCTCTTTGGTGCATTTTGCTTGGCTATTAGGACTTTAACTTTTTGCCAACTACTGGGTTTTCCACTAAACCACTAAAAGTTAAACTTTTAGCAGGGGAGCAGCAAGCAAGCGAGATTGCTCATGACCAGTTGCGAGCACCACCCATTTCTCGCTTTCTGGTAGCCTAAGCTTTGGCACGTGAGCCACTCCACCATGCCCCAGGGCCGACCTGCCCTCGCGACGCCTGGCACTCAGCGCGGAGCTGACATCCGGAAACAAATCCACTTGTCACTGTAAAAGGAGAAGCCCTCCAAGTGCAAGACCAGGTTTTCAAGAACTCCGAGACTTTCCACGGATATCTTGAGGGGCGTTTTTGTAAAGACTCCTGGACTTTCCATGGGCTTTATGGACGCTGGCGGATCATTCGACTCTTGCCAAGGCGTGGGCATGTCGCAGAAGAGATATTGGCTGGGGCCACAGGCGGATTTGCGAACTCCATGTCGCACCGTTCAGAAACCATTCCGAAGGATTCGATTCCAAATTGTTGAGCCATGGTTTCAACCAACGTAAACATGGTAAACAGCAACAAATATGGTTTCAACCAACGTTGGTTTCCATGTTTCGTAAATACCAACGAATATGGTGTCAACTGGTTTCATTTCGTGGCGAAATGGATCACAAAGCCAGATGCCTTTGCTCATTTCCTCGAGCTGCCAGGAATCGGGGAGGCACCAAAAACAGACTGAACCACTATCAGACCTGATGTCTATGTCTCCCGACATGGCACAAAAGGATTGCGCCGCTTAAGCCACCCGCCAAAGCCACAGCTCGGTCTGCGAGAACCCCCCCCTTCCCCAGGAAATAGGCAAAATCCGCTTGCCTGGTGCCCACTTTGCCTCAATTTGGAGCACTTTTGGGTGGCAAAGCTTCAACCGACGCCGCTTAAGGTACAACGCCCCCTCCACCACCACCACAGAGGGATGGCAGCCGGCAGCTCGGGCACAGCTGGACCTGGTGGATTCCCTGAACCTTGAATAGTGAAAGGAAGTACCCGCATCCAACAAAAGCTCGGTACCTACACAGGAAATCACAGTCCCTTGTTCCCCTTGCAATATTTCGGGCGTCCGTAGCATGGCCATCTTGAGAACACGTCCAAAGTGAAGGGAATTGCCACCTGTCAGCTGACGACTGGTTGGTTGGGAACACAAGTCGTCGGGCATGCAAGTGTGAAGCATGGTGTGAGGAGGCATACTCTGAGTGTGTGTATGTGAGTTTGTGTTTGCGGTGCTGTCCATGGCTTCTTGCAGACGTGGTGTCTCTGCACGAACTTTGGAAGAATAAACAACCTGACACGTGTTTGCCAGGTCTGTGATGCAAGGCCTGAAGAGCAATACCTGCATTTGCCTCGCCCGGTGACCGAGCCTCCGTGTCCAGACCCGTAGGTTTAGTGGTACCCCATTCTTCCTGTTGGAAGAGGGTTTGCTTCAAACAATAAGGTGCCATCGCGTTTTGATTTTGAGCGGGGTTGCCAACAAGGTGTTCATTCCTTTACATCTCAGTGTGCCCTTTCGTCTTCTTGGAGGGGGTTGCCTCGAAGATCCAAAGACACATGGGTGGCCTGTTGTTTTTGTTTTGTGGGAGAGGTTAGTGTCCTTCAATGTTGAAATAACAACCAGGAGGGTGCCGTTTGTCTTTTTGAGGGCGTTTCCCCTGAACATTCTGATGCACAGGGTGGTTTTTTTCTTGACGGGGTTCCCCTCTTAGTCAAGTGAAAGCCAGGTGCCCCTTTCTTCCCCAAGGAAATCGATCTAAATCAAGTGCCAAAGCCGGCTGCCCCTCTCTTGCCCATGGAAGAACATGCAGCAGGTGTGAGCTAGCGTCCGGCATTTCTGGAGAGACCTAGGACACCTTGCGTAGTGTGAAAGTTCGGAAGCTGTTTTCAGCATCCCCATTATTTGGCGGGGTGTCTTTTTAAAGTTGGTTTCCTTTTGGTTGCCCCTTAAAACCAACCCACAAAGCGTATCCGCAAAAAAGACATACATTTGGTAGTTGGGATTACTGGTTTGGGAGGTTAGGGGGTGGGTTCCCATCCCACCAGAATGTCGCCGTGCCTCAACTTTCCACGTCCCAGACGGAGAGGGGAATCTTAAGTCAAGAGGTTTCGTTTTTGAAGTTCCCTTTTTTGGGCTGAGAGGAACACTAGAGAGAACCATACCTGGACCCAAATTGGCAGAAGTTTCTGCTTTTCCTTTTTTTTTTAGGCGCCTTTTTGCTGTTGGCGGCGATTTTTGGTCTTCCTGGCAGCGTTTTGTCAAAATCAAGTTCTGTGCAAAAAACGGCAACAGGAAACCGGCGGGAAATCGGCGGAATTTCGCGGAAGCAGGTTTCAGCATGTCAGAGTGGTTGTTGCGTTTCGGCGTTTTTGTTTCTCGCGGGCAGCTTTTTTGTTGTTGATTTTCTTCGGCGGAAATGTCTGCCGCCGGGGCCTTTCGGCAGAAAGTTCTGGCGCCGGAGGGTCCAGGTATTTTCTGGAGTACCTTGTTTTTAAGACGCACCCCCTTGAAAGTGACATAGGGATGGCCTGCTTTGGTAACAGAGAAAGAGGAATTCTTCAGCATGGTTGGACCAATTTGAATAGCTATTCATTTGGTTGTTTGGCTCCTGTTCATGCCATGCCAGAGCAACGGACACTATTTCTGGGGTATCGTGTGTTGATGGCTTTATATTCCCCTTGGGTTTTTGCGGTTTGGTGTCTGTTGGATGGTTGCCTCTCAGTTTACAGCAAAACCATGTTTTCCACGTTCCCCCCCCCACCCCCAACCAGGATTTTCAGGTTCCTTAACGCGTTTTTTTCCACATGAAAGCGGCCTGGAATTTGGTTGTCATCATCTAACGGCTGCCAACTTTGTCTGCAAAAGGGCCTGATTGCCCCCCAGAAAGTCGGTCGCACATTTTTACAGCATGGGGATTGGACCCGAATCCGTGTTCTTGGCTGTTCTTCGAGCTTCTCAATGATTCGGCAGAGCAACGAAACACGCACACTACCATTCAGCTTCTAAAACCGAACTCCATGTTGGTTGCCCCTTCCCCCCGTTTTTTTTGACCCACCACGACCCGGGAGAAGTCTCGCCGAGGTGAAGGGCGGGGTTTGGGTCTTCACCGGGTCCCACGCCATTTTCGCAGACTGGCGCAGGGCTCAGCGGATTGATGGGGCCATCTGGGTTGCGCTTGTTGAGGGGTTCCCGGTGTTCCCTTTTGCACCCAGTGGATCCCAATTAACCCGTATAGGAGGTAGCCAGCCATGTTGTTTTGCGGTTTTCCAAGGGTGGTTCCCTATTGCTCCTAAAGACAGAGCAACATGAATATGTGCTGCAACACAATATGTATCGTGTAATCCTAGATCCACTGCAGCATTTCCTAGAATTATTCCTGTTGAGCCACCTATAGGAAACATTAGTAAAAAGAGAAGAAATAAGAAGACATAAGTAATTCTAAGGTGTAATAAGATGGATCCGAGAGATATGTGAAAAGCCAATTAAATATTTGTGTACCAGTTGGTAAATATACTTAGAGTGGGGCAGGTAACCCCTAGTTGGTGGCTTGATTGGTGGTCTGGAGATTAGGCCCCCTGGTTCTTGTAGAGGGCTACCGTTAAGCACCAATCCGAACCGCCGCTTAGCGGGAAATTGATGTTTGTCGCCCTTTGAGGGGTAAGACTACTTTGACACGTACCTGTGTTCTACTAGCTTTGGCATTCCCAAAATGATTAGTTTCCTTTTGGATGGTTTAAAAACAAGAAACTGCGGCCTACCCCCATGATAAAAGCACGGCCATTTGCAAGCGCCCAAAACCCTATCCGGCCGGGTAGGTGCAGTTTGTAGATGCCCTTCCTGCATTGTTTCATCGGGCGGGGGGGCAATAGCAAGCTTGTTTTCCCCCCTAGCTAGGTCGGTAGAACCAGGTTTTGTCGATACTCGACTGAGGACATGATGGCGTATGCCTTTTTTTTCTAAGAAGGAAGTTTTGATAATACTGTCAAGGGCGTCAGGTTGATCTTGTTTTCAGCTTGGCTTGCTTTGGGTTTAGTGTTGAGTTGTGCAATTAAACTACATAACTTCAAGCAGTTTCCAGATACGAACAGAATTAAACAAGAGTGAAAGACAGGCATAATCAAGTGCTAATGGTATGCTTTAAGAAACAGGTGCTTCTCAGAGTCAATCAGAGTACTGAAGGCTATGTTTTTCACATATTGAAGAAACAACGACTCAGCATCAACATGTTTCAATGGGAATCACACTTTCCCAGAACAATCAGACTTTTCATGTTACTTGAATAGAAACACGATGTTACATCATTTTTCACATCAAAGCAAGACTGGGCTTCCCTTTCATTGTTGAATGTTTCTTACATTTGGCTTCTGGAACAATCATTGATTGTGTGTTTTAACCCCCCCCCGGAACAAACAACACGTTTAGTGATTTAGGCCCTTTCTGTTGCACTAAGTACCTTCTTTTTCTCCCCATCTCAACGAAAGTTTTCGGGACCCGGGGCTCCCGTAGGATGCACTCCATCGCGGATGTGGCGAACTATGGGTACCGACTTATGGAGCTGAGACGCTCTGGCAGGACTGTTGTCGATGTTTCAAGGTTCGCGGTTGGCTTTGTGTCCGAGAAACTTTGTTCAAGGAACTCAACAGGATGGCTGTCGAAATCGGTTTTACAGCATCTAAGAGTTGGTTTCGCAGCAACAATGAAACTGTACCAACTTCGGACTGGCATGGTTCCTGTTGGTTTCCCTCTTGAATAACCAAAAGTTTGGGTACCCCCTACCGAGACATCGATGGTTGCAGTTCTTGGACGTCGGAACGGACAGAAGGAGACAAAAACCCGGTTGAAATCACAAAACAACATCCGCAAGTCAACACTTCCGGAGGGATTGGCTTCACTTCGCAGGCATGCATCATACCTGTTTCAAACCCAAAGCCCCAATGGGCCCCTTTTTGCAATAGAGCGGAATGCCCAGCCCCGTGCCCACTGACACCATTTGCTACAGAACTTCCTGTAGTTGGTTTCTTAGAGTGCTGAAGCTTCGGTTCACAAGAAACTCGTCTGGACTCATAAAGTCTGCCAGACTTTTTGAGTGTCTGAAAAGCAGAGAAGCCCTCCAAGTTGCACAAATCTCTCGCCTTCACCAGGCTCCGCATGTTTGAGACACCCAGGCTCTGGGTAACGCAAATAGCTCAAACGCAGATTTCCCCAAAGATGAAGCTCCAGACAATGCCTTGCCAATGTACGAGTGGTCATTTTGCCATAGGTTTAAGTTAGGCCTATTGGGGCCCTGGTCCTAAACCGAAACCTGCGTTGTTGTTTGTGTTGCTTTTGGGCCAACATCCGTGGCTTCTTGTTGGACCAACTTGGTCGCTTGAGGTGGGGTTCAACGGACCTCAAACAAGGAATCCCCTTCAAAGTGAGCTCAAGTTGGCTTCCAGTCACTTCCATTTGCTTAAGAAGAGCTCTTATTTTGCCTTGTTGGTTTTAGGGAATCTATCACTACTGGACCTATTCTTATTGTTTCCAGGGGCCGTATCCGCACATGCAAGCTCAAATCCTCCGACACACCACCAGCAATCGATCGAATCCATCTTGAAAGGCCGATTGTATGGTACCCACTTTTCCAAAAAAAACACCAATTTTCAAGCTTTGCCATACTTAGGCCCTTAGGCAAGAAAACTAAGTGAGTTTTTTGAGCAAGCAGTTAGCCTGGGATTCATGCCAGCGGGGTTCTATGGACGTATACTTTGAGCCTTCGTTTCGTGGCGATCTCGCGGCCAGGAAGCGAGACATGGCGCATCCCTACGGGTACGCGCCGCTGCCGGGAGCCGCGGGACCGCGGCGTTGCAGATCAACAGGTGTGTGAACCCCCTATCAATGTTGACTCCAGGGGTGCTTGTACATACCCTTTTACATACTCCTTGGGCACATGAACCTAAAAAGTATGAACAAGGGGTATGTACTTCCACCCTTAGATTGACCCCATACTCATCAACCCCTGCTAGGTTTCATAGGGGGTGCTTTTCGCTGGTTTTAGTGGGGACTCAGACCGCCTTTGGAGGGGCCCCCACCCCCTTATTAAAAAAATGGGGTTGATGGAGATGGGGTCGACAGTACTCAGTTGAGCGCGGGCCCAAGAATGGAGTATTCCCCAAAATCCAACCACCGCCCCCAACCGCAACACCCCCCAACCCTCAATGAAGACATGGACTCAAATCTGCTGTCTGGTTTAAGTTTGTTCCGGTTGCCATTTTCCCAAACCGAGGCGAGCTTTGAATACTTTGGTTTTGCCATGGTTCATCTTGCTAGAGATGCAGGGAATGAGAAATGGAACGACCCCTGAAAAAAAACACATCCAACTGGTGGTGTCCTTTAAGAGGACCCCTAGGTTCATTGCCAGATTCCCTACCTATCGCACCAGCGTGACCCCCTCTCAGACCCAAGCTGGAGCCAGCCATCAAGCGAGCCAACCGAGCTCATGGGAGACTAAAATATGTCAGGTTTTTGGAATTGTTGGTATAGAAGCAAATTGTGTTAGCTTTTTGTTGTTGACTTTTGTTTGTTCGGATTTTGAAATCTGTGGTGAGCCTCTACGTTGCAAGTTTCACATTGTTTTCTGCATGCATATTGACCTGTTGTGATTGTGCCAAGCAATCAATGTTAGCATTTATTTAGTGCTCTTTGTTGAGTCAGGATTAAGGTGTTAGACAATATATGTATATACACATATATGTACATATAATTCATTTTTGCGTTTTTGTTGACGAGTCGAGGGAGGACGGGCCACGAGGTGCCAAAGAAGTACGGCTTACCATGGGTGAAGATGTCTGGTTGCCAAGGGCTCAATGGCTTCGTTGCATCTGAGATTGGTGCAATCGAATGGGGATTGCATCGCCCTGGAGGCCTATCTCGGCCAGAAAGCGAATCTTTCAAAGGATTCATTGACTACTTTGGGGCACCAGATGTGTGTGTGTGTGTGTTTGTTTAATGTTTTTATTTGTCTTTGTGTTTTTGTTATTCTTTTTTTTCCCGGTTTTGCCGACCTGCTTTAAACTCAGAATATTTTAAGAACGGCCGCGTGGGATCCGCCTGGCATGGGAAGGCAGTCCGAACCAAGATAAGGGCAGCTTCAGAAGAGTTGCTGTTCGGCCTTAGCACCCTCTCAGCAATTAATGGAACCTGACAGGGACCCGGTCCCTTTAAATGGAACATGGTCTTCCGGGACCCCCCTGTGGGAGGGTTATTGAACAAGGAAGAAGATTTGGGTTTGTTTTCCTTTCACTCCTTTGACTCCCAAATTTCTTGAACAGGGCTTCAGTCATCCAGCTTGCTCAGACTCCGAATGCCGAGGCGGTACATTACCGCAGATCGATCTTTCGTGCAGGGAGCCCCACTCCGGTGGCACCCTCCGTTTTGCTCGGCTCAACCTAAAAATTGGTCGACCCAAAAAGGCATTCAATTAAGTTGTTTTTGTTTTTTTCTTCGGGGATCAGTGAAGAAGTGGTGTTTGTGCTTGGCATGTCCACTTAGCCAGTTTGGGAAACCGCTTA